CTGGGCGACAGAGTGAGACTCTAACTCAAAAAAAAAAAAAAAAAAAGATGACTACTAGTAAAAATAGAAAAAAAAAAAGAAGAAGAAAGAAAATAGCAAGTGCTACCAAGGATGTGAAAAAATTCAAACCCTTGTGTACTGGGTATAAATGATGCAGCTGCTGTGGACAACAATATGGGGGTTCCTAAAAAAAAATGGAATTACCATATGGTCCAGCAATTCCGCTTCTAGGTATATGTCCCAGAGAACTGAATGCAGGGTCTCAGAATGACCTATGCACACATGTGTTTGTAACAGCACTGTTTACAATGGCCAAGAGATGGAAGCCACCTTTCCGCAGGTAAATGGAGAAACAAAATGTGACACAGTCCCCTCATTCAAGGTTTCACTTTCCAGTGTCAGATACCTTTCCGGTGTCAGTTACCCACAGTCAACTGTGGTCGGAAAACAGGTGAACACAGTACAATAAGATATTTTAAAAGAATATATTCACATAACTTTTTTTCTTTAGTCAGAGTTTTACTCTTCACCCAGCCTGGAACGTAGCCTCAAGCGATCCTCCTGCTTCAGCCTTCCGAGTAACTGGGACTACAGGTATGCACTGCCACGCCCAGCTAATTTTTTGGTTTTTTGTAGCGACAAGGTCTCCGCTATGTTGCCCAGGCTGGTCTTGAACTCCTAAGCTTAAGCACTCCTCCTATCTCGGCCTCCCAAAGTGCTGGGTTACAGGCCTCAGTCACGGCGCCTGGCCCATATTCACATAACTTTTATTACAATATATTATTATAATTGTTCCATGTTATTATTTATCATTATTGATCATCTCTCTTGCTTAAGTTTATAAATTAAACTTTATCATATGTATGTACAGGAAAAAACTGAGTATATACCAATATAGGGTTCATTACTACCTGCAGTTTCAAGCATCCACTGGGGGTGTTGGAATGTATCCCCCAAGGATAAGGGGGACTAGGTACATACATATAATGGAATATTATTCAGCCTTTAAAAGGCAGGAAATTCCAACACAGGCTGCAACACGGATGAACCTGGAAGACATTATGTTACATGAAATTAGCCAGTCACAAAAGACAAACACGGTATGATTCTATTTACATGATGTAGCTAGGATAGTCAAATTCATAGAAACAGAAAGTAGAATGGTGGTTGCCAGGGACAGGGTGGAGGGGGTGGAAAGGACAAGAAGTTGGAGGTGTTGTTTCATGGGTGCAGAGTTTCAGTTTTGCAAGATGATAAAGTTCTAGAGACGGACAATGGTAATAGTTGCACAACAGTGTGAATATGCTTAACACGATTGAACTATACACTTAAAAGTGGTTACGATGGTGGATTATTATTATTTTTTAGTCAGGATCTTACTCTGTCGCCCAGGCTGGAGTGCAGTGGCACAATCACTGCTCACCCCAGTTTCAACCTCCTGAATTCAGGTGATCCTTCCACCTCAGCCTCCTGAGTAGCTGGACTACAGGCGCACACCACCATGCCCATCTAATTTTTAAATTTTTTTGTAAGAGACAAGGTCTAGCTATGTTGCCTGGGCTGTTCTCAAATTCCTTGGCTCAAGTAATCCTTCCACCTCGGCCTCCCAAAGTGCTGGGATTACTGGTGTGAGACTACCACACTTGGCCAACGTAGATTTTATATATTTTGTTTTGTTTTGTTTTTTTGAGTAGGAGTCTCACGCTGTTGCCCAGGCTGGAGTGCAGTGGCATGCTCACAGCCACCACAGCCTCGGTCCACTGGACTCAGGCAATCCTCTGCCTCAGTCTTCCAAGTAGCTG